TGTCTCTTGAGATTTGAACTTGTTTAGTGGATAAATTGTAGACTTTGTAAGCCTTTTGTCCAGGGCTATAACCTATAAATACACACTTATAACCTCTTGATTCAAATTTGTCTTTGTGAGGTTTGGTATTGGTTATGTAACAAAGGCAGCCAAAGGTTTTAAGGGAAGAAAAATCTGGTTTAGTGTTGTATAGGATCTCAAAAGGGGTCTTCCAATTTAACATTGAACTGGGAATTCTATTTATAATGTGTGTCGCCATTAGTATAGAGTGTGACCAGAAATATCGGGGTAAATGAGCTTGAAACAATAGGAATCTGGCCATTTTGGAGTAAATGCCTGTGTTTTCTTTCTACAACTCCATTTTGTTGTGGAGTGTAGACACATGATTTTTGGTGAAGAATTCCTAAAGTATGGAGCAAGGTTTGACATTCATTTCCAGTAAATTCACTTCCATTGTCTGTTCTAATGACTTTGACATCCTTTTTGAACTGGTTTTTAATCATTTTGAAGAAGATTTCTAAGGTCTTAACAGTCTGAGATTTGTGAATAAGCATGAAGATCCATGTGCCTCTACTGTAGTCATCCACAATGGTGAGCATAAAAGGTGTTCCAATCAGGGTGTGTTGTCTATAGGGACCCCATATGTCAATGTGCAACAATTCAAAGGTGGTTTTTGAGTGAATTTGTGAGTTTTGAAACGGAAGTCTGTTTTGTTTTGCTTTGTGACAAACATCGCACGGTTCAACATTCTTAATGGCAGAAGCATTGCACAGTTGTTTAAGGAAGTTGAGATATTGTAAGCATTGAAATGAAGCATGACCAAGTTTAATATGCCAATCAACAAGAGAAAAGGGAGAAGCCTTATCAGTAATAGGAATTTTATTTCTAGAATTCAAATTCTCAGTAAATAGAAGATTACAGATATTCATTCTCCTATAACAATTTCTAACTCCACTATTGAGGAAACTATGGTCATCAAGTATGTATAACTTTCCATTCAATTTTCCAACCGCCAATGTCCTATCACTCTTCAGGTCCTGCATCAAGCAATATATAGGATAGAAGATAAATTTAATCTGTGCAGTTTGGCAGAGTTTAGGGACTGATAGTAAATTAAGTTTAAAAATAGGTACGTGAAGAACATCATTTAAAATGATTTTGTGGTTCATGGCAATGGTTCCAATGTGTTTGACAGCTTTGACAGAACCATCAGGTAGCCAAATAGAGGTAGGCTGTGTGACTGGTTTTAGGTTAGTCATTTGTGATGAATTTGTGCACATGTGATTACTGGCACCAGTGTCAATAATCCAAGTTCCATATTTCAGTTCATCAAGTGAAGTAAAAGCAAAATGTTGAGTGTACATACCAGAATAATCCTTGAGATGTGCAAAATTCACTTAATCTTCATTATCATTGAACTTTTTCCCTTTCAGCATTTTCATCAATTCTTGCTGAATAATGGCAGTAATATTGGAAGAGGATGATGTATCCTTTGAAGTCACAATAGCAAAATCATCTTCAAAATCAAGGAGTGAATTATCCATCTTCATCACATTGTTTGCAGCATTTCTCTAGCTAGGGTCCTTTGTTCTTTGATCTTTCTTGTACCAATCTGGAAAACCAATAAGTCTGAAACATCTTTCTTTTGAATGTCCACTCATACCGCAGTGATCACAGTACACTAGCTCCTTATCATAATTGCCATATCTTCTGCTAATTCCCCTTCCTACAGCATGGTTTCCTCTACCAAAAGTAGATCTACCTGTCCAATTTCCTCTCCCAATCCATTTCTTCCACGTCCATCATTCCTAGCATTAACTCCCCTGACCATCATCGCAGTGTTATCATTAGTTTCAGGATACAACATGTGCACTTCTCTTTGTTTCTCCACCCTTAGAACCATGTAATAGGCTCTATTCACCGAAGGTAAAGGCTCTATCACAAGAATTGTCATAAGTATCACTCAGGCCCATCAAAAATTGCATCAGTTTGTTGAAAGAAGCTGAATCAGAAACTTCCTTTGCAGCTCCACATGTAGAGACTGGTGATGGTATAAGATAAGCGATTTCATCCCATAATTTTTTAAGATTAGTGCAATATTTCTTCACTGTCATTGATCCTTGTATCATGCTACTGATCTCTCTCTACAACTGGTAAAGTAAAGGCCCATTGCATTCACCATATCTCTCATTTAATTCATCCCATAAATCCTTGGTTGATGTCGTGTAAATAAATGCTTCCACAATTTCCTTCGAGATTGAATTTAAGATCCAAGATCTAACCATACAGTCTACCCTATTCCATTGATCAAAATTTTGAGATTCACTATCTGGTTTCTCACATTTCCCGTCGCACCTAATGCTATTTTAATGGATTTGTTCCAGCTGAGATAGTTTTTACCTGTCAATGGTGAAGTTACAAGGATCATTCCTGGATGATCCGAACTCTGCAAATCCAATGGGTCTCCATTGGAATACTCCTTTGTTGCTGCTCCCTGTTCAACCGCCGGAGGATTTTCTAGATCATCATTTTGATCATTGTTGTTTGCCATCTTCTTCTTGGTACATTTATCACTTCAAAACTTTATGGGTGCGAGATGATATATTGCTCTAATACCATAATCAGAAACTGGAAGAAGAGCAGTGAAACTCCATCTGTGTAATTTTCTCTATTTTCTCACAATGCAAAAGGAATTACCGTCCAAGATATATACAAGACAATATACAGGACAAAGCCAATGAAAAGATGACAGCTCACCTAACAAACTAACAAAAAATAAAGAGAGAGAATACGTGAAAATAATGAAAATAAATGATAATTTAACACATTCCCGGCTTAATTCTGATTTGGCTTTTAGCATTTAAATTTATAGTTGAGGCTATCCAAATAAAGCTGAGTTAAAAAAGTTGTTACTTTTGGGAATAGAAGAACAAATTGAAAATCAATTTCATAAAACATCTTCCAATAGAAAATTAAATAATTTTTTGCCGCATCCAAATTAGATTTTATCACGTAAAAAGTCATCTCCATCTACAATGGGAGAGAAATTAGAGCCCAAACAAAATTTCGTTAGTCTTATCTAATGTAGACTCTCATTTCAGTTTATATAAGTTGTATCACATGGCACAGTTAACAAGTGACAACTATAAGCAAAACCTATAGAACCAACTTTTAAGGTATGGTCCTACTAGATACTACATTGGATTTTTCAAAGACAGAGTACTATTTGATGTGAATTATGCTACATACAATGGCAAAAATGTTGATAATCCTCTAGAAGTTAATATAGAGAAATAGTTTATTACTTTGCCTGTGTTTGGCCCCCATTTTAAAAATTTATTTTTTCTCAAACTCATTTTCAAACATACATTTCATGGTATTCACATAATTTTTATCAACTTTTTAATTACACATTTCATTAATTTTTATTAAAATATATTACAAATTTAATTTTATCTAAACCAAACTGGGATTTTATTTTATTTTAAAGTATTGATGTTTTTTTTCTTGTGGATTGATTGATTTTATTTTTTACTTTGTATATTTTTTTGTGTTTGTTAATTTTAAGTATCTTATTTTGTAGGTATGACTATGGTAATGCATGAAAAATAGACTACAGTGGTGTTTGATTGTCATTTTTAGGTAAAAATACATTTTAGAATAATAACTTGATAGGAAGTATGTGGTTCAAAAATAAGGAAATCTTTTTGATTTACGTATAATATTATTTTAATAAAAAATGTGTGGTTAAAAAGAAGAGGGGGAAAAATGTATTTTGAAAAAAATGGGTACCAAACGGGGGGCTAGATATGAGATCCATTTATCACTGAGGATGCTCGACTGCCCATGGCTACTCAGTTGTAAGTTTATTACAATTAGCTAGATGAAGGGTATGATATAGATCGAGAACAGTCGAGAATTTTAATTAAACTAACAAATTAAGAACTAATATCAGAACCTAAATAGTGGTAATAACATTTGAACTACGTCATTAATTTTTATTTCTTGTATTTTGAACTCAATTTATTATTTAATTTTATTTTACTTTTGTAATGAGAAAAAACAATGTAAGATTCTTCAACATTAAAATGTACATAATACTTGATAATATATTAACATAAAGTTGTTCTATTTTTACCGATGAATAAAATGTCATAAAATAGTTTTTTTAAATTTTAAAACAAACTTGTTTTCTAGTTTTCTATTTTCAGAAATAATTTTTCAAAATAACAAACAAAGAGCATTTTTAGTAATCTTAAAATGGACATTCAAAACAGAAATTTGAAAATAAACTAAAAACTGAGCCACAAGCTAAAAGGTCACTTTAATTTTTCACCACTCGTGAGATCCATACCCTTCTTTTTTTTTTTTTTTTTTTTTTTTTTTTTTTTTTTTTTTTATCAAAATCAAAATTTTAACTCCCTCGAACCAATGTAATGGACTAATGGTATGTACTTCTCCGTGCAATAAGTTTACACATTTTATTCCTGCTTAAAATTTTCTACGGCAGGTCTAGCAGGAAATCTGTAAATAATATTATATTGACCTTATCACAATTTTTTGCAGTTTTTGTTCTAATTTTAAGCCCTTTTTGATGCACTTAAATATCAATTTTTTATTAAATTTTGATAATAAAAAAATGATATGTGTGATTGAAAAGTTAATAAAAGTTATGAATCTCAACATATAATTAACTATTAGCTTTGATTTTATTTTTTTTATCCAAATTTTTAATTACATCAAGGAGGAGCTCTCATTCATATATCTCGACAAAATTGAAGTACACGTTCCTTTAAATGTCAAATCCAACTGGAAGTATTTAACACTGTTGAAAATGACGCATACATAATCTTTTGCATGGTTACGAGCACGTGCACGTGCTTGTAGAAATTTAGCAGCTGTTCTTTTATATATAAAAATTATTCCACCAGCCCAATCCTGTTAACACGTTTGGACCCAAATTCCGCTCCAATTAAAGATCATGATCTAATCCAGCAGTATCACCCTTTTGACCCGACCCAGCTTTGCATGCAATTTTCACCGTTGACGTAATCATTTCCACGCAAATCTTCCCCAGTCCTATAAATTCCTCCATGTCTCTGCTGCAGAATCTCCTGTTTCTCCTTTTCAGTTTTATCCTTCTTGCCCATTGCATGAAGAACGATACACTGGATCAATGTTGTGCCCAATGAGAGCAACGGAGTGGATTATTCTCAAAAAAAAAAAAATAATAAATAAAAAGTCTCCCCAGCCCAAACTCTTTCTATTTTAGACTTTGACAGATCAATTGCAACGAAAAATGGTGGCATACTAGGGACGAGAGAGACGATCCGTGGCTTCTTCTAACTTGAGAGGAGTCCCCTGTAAGCTTGAAATTGACCATAACTTATTTGATTATTACTTGTTGAATGTTAATTCTTTGTTACATTTGTTTCTGACGAGAACAAGTCTGTTTCCTCTTCTCTGATGTAAATCTAAACTTTGATGGGTGTAGAATCCGTCGAACTCTATTAATGGAGGAATAGAGTGGAGGTAAACCCATCCACGAGCAAGCAAAAGTGCTGATTAGAGTATTCTGCAGATGATTCTGGTACACTCAACTCACAAACCCTTATTACATATATTTCTCTTCAATTCCACATTCTACAGATGAGTCTGGTACACTCAACTCACACTCCATTATTACATATATTTCTCTTCAATTCTCCATTCTCCAGATGATTCTGGTACACTCAAGTCACTCTTACCATTATTACATATATTTCTCTTCAAATCTCCATTCTGATACACTAAAGTTCCACACCATCATTACATATAAATATATTTATGTTTTCAGTCCCTCATTCAATTATATGAGACCTAATTTATTGTATAGGAAAAGGACTCATTCTTTTCTGTAGGTATACTCCAGCAATTTCGGAGGCAAATATAGACTTTAGGACTCACACAAAGTCTTCGTTTGCCTTCCGGATCTGTTAAAAAATAAGAAAGGATATGAGAAAAAAGTTTAAGGTTGAAATACTGAATCACAAGTGAGAAGGAAAACTAGGAAGATGATGAACCTGGACTTCGTGAAGGTTGACTCCATTTTTCTTTAAAATCGATAGAAATCGTTCAAGACTATTCTCAGTGGGATTATAATGTCCACTAGAAGGTGAGATGCGCTGAAGAAAATAAAGAAGTGCATTAGATAAAAAATCTTAAGATTTGAGATAGTTGATGTAGTGAAACTTATGGTTAGTCCAGAACTAAGTCTATTTTTCTTAAATTAATATTTTAACACCCCCTTTCCTTATCTTAATGTTATAGGTGATATCGTATACAGATTACCTATAAAGAAATCAGATAACTAAATCAATAGTTTTAGGTAATTTTAAGCTTATAGTACCTATTCTATTCATTTGACAAGACATATGATTTCTCATTAGGACTTGACCACCATTTAATCTCTCAAAATCAAGTAACCATTCTCTTACAGGGCACATATGGAAGAATAAAGCTGCTTGGCCAAAGTCACATGTGGCCCGGCCATATAGCAGCACTCCATGTGGAAAATATAGCCTGAAAAAAGAATAAATTCTTGACTTGGTTGACTTCTTGTTGAAACATAGATATGTCTATGTTGTTATCTTCATGATAAAATAAAGTAGCTTCAACATCATTTTTTTTTTTTTTTTTTAACATTTTCCTAAGTTAGTTTATCTTTTAGGACAGCCATTTTTTCCTATTCCAATCCATTTCATTAGAATAACTATTTTTAGGGCTACTCTTGCCTTTTGCTGGTAAGTTGTCTCAAGTGACACTCTCTCTTGTTCCACTATTTAGTTCCAACTCCTAACAGGCCTTATCTGTTTTTCAGATTTGTCCGTTGGGAATGGCAAAAATTACTAGTAAAACCAATCTTCGTGAGGACCTGCCTAAATTGATGAAATTAGTCCAATTTAAAAAAAAAAAATAATAATAAGGAAGTTGATCTCTTTTGACCAATTAAGTGGTGGTCTGCCATAAAGTAAGAAAATGAATAGTGAATTTTTAAAGAAAGTGTGATTAAGAAGTAAAAGTTTTGAATTTATATTTAAAATATTTTATTGTGAGAATGTATGGTTGAAAATGAGTTTGAGAATTTCTTTTATTTTTTTATTTCTTTAATGGTAATCAAACAGGGCTAAAATCGATATTCCAATTTGACATAAAATAATTGAAATAATTAAATAAGAAACAAAAAAAAAATGGAAGAAAAGAAATTCTTCATCACCCCAATGGCGAAGATGGAGGGATAGGAAAGAAGATGGTGATGCCAAATTTGTTTGGGGCAGGTGGTGGAGGTCGGGGTGGAGGTGAAGAAGATGAAGCTTTTCTTTTATTCAATTTTGTTTTTCTTATTCAATTATGGAATAAATTACTTGTACGGTGTCCATATGGGTCTCCACCCTCTCAATTATTTCATCTATTTCATGTTAAATTGAAATTGACAATTTTACCCTTCACTAATTGGTCAAAAAAAGTCAGACTTATTTTTTTGGTCAACAGATGACAATTTAGATGAATTTCATTCATTTGTCCTCCAACAGCACGTACTTGGAAGATTTGGAATCACGGGTGCAATAAAGTAAACATTAGAATAAAATGTGCAAATATTTAAAAAGTTTAAAACCATGAGTGCAATAAATTTAAAGACATTGAACCCTGGTTGGTGAGGATTAAAATCATATTTTTAATAAGTTTTTAAAGTCTTGGACGAAAATTAGAGTTTTAATAAATTTTTAGAGTAAAGGACTATCCAGAATTTACCTTAAGCACCCCATCTTTTACCAGGAGTCTCCCAGCAGTTAAAGTGGCTTCTCCTGCAAGAAAACTTGAATGATGGAAAAATCCTCGCTCTTTCTGAATGTTTCAATGAAGAAAAAAGTTTCATTTTAGAAAGCAAGAAAGAGAGAGACTTAAAAAAAATCACGTGAGAAATTCTAGCTTTTTAGACATTACCTCTCCAATGTAGAGTTTTTTAGATGTGCTCACTACAAAGATATATTTCAACTGTGGAGATCCATGGTGAAGAGGAATTCTGGTTATATTGTGCAGTATTTTTCCATCAACAACCACATACTCGTAATATTCTCTCTCTTGCTGATCATATCAAAGAAGAATAAAAAAATTAAGAACCCTTAAAATGTTGCATGGGTTAGAATAGAATAACATTTTAAGAAAGATAGTTAATTAATTCATAATTTAATACTATCGAATAATATGTATCAAACTTGCGATAAATGTAGAAAAGAAAATCTATTGCAAAAGGTAATGCAAATATTTTCATCACATACTGGTCCAAAATGCTTGACACATTGTTGATCAAGCTTTGATCTTGGGCACTCTTCAAGATCAACCTCTTTGCCATCTCCTAAGTCCAACCTGTTAAAAAGTAGATACGTTCAAGTTTCAATTAATATGTGATTTCGACTTTAGATTATATGGAACCGACTGCACACTTGTTCAAAATAAAATAAATGAAAAGTTCAATCAACTAAATATCGATAATCAGTGTAAAATCAAAGTGAATTGTCATTCATTTTGACAAAATATAATTAGACTGCAGGAATCTCTCTAATTGTAATTTGATACTACTCATTTGACACCGCTATCGAACTTTTCTCACCAGAATAAGAAATGCTGATTGGTAGAACTTTTAAACCACTCTTTATAATATAGATGTAAGTTGTTCCCATAACGATGCCTTGGATCAATCTGCATGAATAATATAACTCTCTAATGTCAACTTCACAAACATCATTATCACGTAAAAGTTGAGACAATGGCAAGTAACTTGTAAAGTGAAGACAATTGAACTTCGGGAAACAGAGTAATAAGCTGCAAGGAGGAAGATGAGAATGATGTCAAGTCGTTATACATCTTATTGTTTATTGCTTCTTGTGATTGGGGACGTCAACACTGACGTTGATAAACTCTGCAAAAACTCAATATTTGAATTATCATTATCTAAAATAACAGAGAGAGAGAGAATGGGGAAAATATCACCGGGAAGCCGGCAGCTCAATCCCCAGTAAACACTCTCTCCAAAAACAACGTTTCTTCTTCTCCCAATTAGCCAATTGTTCCTTTGAAACCTGGCCAAAACTCTCCCAAGAAAACCCTAAAAAAAAATGTCTCAACCAAATACCGCCACCCCACCAATCGTTTTTGACTCCCCAAAGATCTCAGATGCCAAATCACTATTCAATTTCCTTGTTGCACCACTCCAGACCCCAGATTCTACAACTGAATTTTGGAGTCATTTTCATCGGTTTCTTGTATGCAGGACATCAAGTCATCATATACCGTAAGATCACTACAAGGATAAGCTAACCTTAAATCTCTAAGATGGCAGGAAGAAAGAGTAACTCACAGCTTCGATCCAGTGTTTTGAAACCAATATGTGCGCCTTGTTATCTATAAACAAACCCTTGCCTACCTGTCAATATATTTAGATAAAGATAAATCATCAAATGCTGTCATCATCAAAACAATCCTCTTATTTTCGACTTTCTTTTGCCTAACTAAATAGTAAATGCTAATCCAAAATATCTTTAAGAAGGAATCTTTTCATACTTTGGAAGAATTCATAATGAGGCGCTTCCACCACAAGGCTGTTGTCTCAGGCTTCAAGAAGTCATCAAACGACACAATATGTACGTACCCCATTGCTAGTAGTACAGATCTTTAGAATCGTTTCAGTTGCAGAGAGCCTACCCTCCGCCCTCCCGAATGAGTTTCTTTGGAGAGTAATATTTGGAGACCTTATAAACGAGAGAGAGAGAGAGGAAGAGGGAGAGAGAGAGAAAGAGAGATAGAGGTGCCAATATAAGGGTATTCATTTTGTTCTTGGCAAAAGAAAGAGTTTTTTTTTCTTCCACAAAAAGAGCCAAAAGAAAGGTTTATCTTTCTCCTGCCATTCTGTGTGTTTGTTTTTGTTCTTCAGTAGTAGTTCTCGTGCCATTCTGTGTATTTGTTTTTGTTCTTCAGTACTAGCCTTTCATTTGTGTTAACTAATTTTGATTATAAGCTTGAGCAAATAAGCTTACATCTATATATGTTATTTTAAGATTTTTACGTCTTTTACGTTTAGGCTGAATTTATGTTTTACCTATCAGAATCTTATACTGCACATTTTTTAATTAATTAGTAATGATGAAACTTGAATTTAGAATCTTTCTACCATGTTAAATCACTTAATTTAATAATTAAAAGTCTAAATTGTTAAGTAAGAAAGCTTGTATATTTAAATAATATTATACTCTACAATTTTAATCTAAAGAATGAAAATAAATCAATTAGCTGTGCTGTTTGTGGAGTAAAGGAATGTCGAATTCAAGGGATTATAAAACATCATTGAAGGGGGGCCATAGGGTAATGATAACCCTATTCTGGCTATTCAACTCGATAAATTGAATGAATTGACAGCATATTTGTCCTTGTTTTTTCCTGAAACGTTATCACTTTATAAGAAAAATCTTCATTGGTCGAAGAAATAGTGTCGTATTAAAAACTGTACGATGATCAAATGAGAAAAGAAAATATATTTGATATCCATGCATGTTTCTTTCCCAACTTTTAGCTGATTGCATTTTAGATAATAATGTGAAAAGAAAAATGGTAGAAGCCCTAATAAAGAAAAATCAATATTACTGTCATACAATGAATTAATATATAATGCACATATCATACTCATATCGTCACAGTTTTAAGCATTGAGCGTTTGTTAAGTATGAGATTTTGTGACGAAGTCGGCCAATTGCAAAGAAAAAGAAACATCAACTCGCATATGGAAAACTGAAACTAGGTTTAATGAATTATTTATATTGATTCTGTAACACACTGAAATTGTAAGAAAGACAATACAATTCCATCGATGAGAGTTTACTGAAAGTTACGTTCCAAGATAGAGGTCCTTGTTCCCGGCAACCCAGCAAATCCGAGCCTGCCATCTGCTGATGATGCCTGTAAAGCGTTTTAATATTAAGAATTCTTACATTATTATCTTGTTAAAGGAATATTAAAATGAACATTGTAACTCCTCTGTACATTGAAGCTCCCCTAGAAAATCCACTATTTTTCCTGGAAAACAAAGCAGTAAATGAGATTCTACCCAAAAAAATACTAGGAAACAAAACCCATTATCCAGATTAAGTTCTTAATTCTTTGATAAATAAACCTTCTTAAGTGCTAGGACCAGTAGTACATATATTTCTAATTTCAGGAAAGAGAGAAGAAAACCTATTGAAATAGTAAATCTTGAATAAAAATAAATTTAATTTCTCCAATGACGTGGTTTTACAAAGCTGACACGTGGAAACAATAATGTTGCAATTATCAACAAAGATCTATCATTGAAATCTAGGGCCAAAAGTAAAATAGCAAGTCAAGCAGGGGGAAACACAAATTTGCTTTATGGGGACCTAAATTTGTATCATCTGAAGCCATGATGGAGTTGTGTCCAAAATAAAGTATCCACACCCCCAACATTCAATGTTTCCAATCCCAAGAAATTCTAATTATTATCAGATTAGCAAAATGAAAACGCTATACCAACATCCCATTCACAAACCTCAACAGGGCCCACCCATCCACTTAATGCAATTGAGTACAAGTGATATTGAACATCAAATCTAGATGCTAGCATATCATATATTCTATTAAATGGATCATAAATCATTGGATTTAATTGAACCTATAATTTAATGTTACAAATGTTGTCTGGCTAAATTGTTGGTAAATACTATTTTCTTTTCTAAAAGTATGAATGGTTGATAATTTCAAATTTTCACCAGTCATTGCTATTAAATCCTCATGACCGAACATGGATCTTAAATTTATTTTTGGATATGACTCTTTCTTATCTTACTAATATAGAAATGAGTGTGTTGTGAGCCAACTTTGTTGATGCAATTGTAATTTCTCGAGATACAAGAGTTGTTAATTTCTTATCAAGTGTTTGTGATGACTAAAATTACGAGTTTTTAATAAAGAAACAATATATTATATTGAAAAGGCTTTTAAAGATATACTTCATCAACTAGTATGATATTCAGATTTTGAGTTATATATTTTAATTATGATTTTGAAGTCGTTTGTTGGGGTGGTCAATAATATTATCGTAGCTATTGCTTAATTTTGAAAATAAAAAAAGTGTTGGTCACAAAAATATTGGGGTTTGTTAACTATTATACAACCAATAATCTGTTCAACATAATTTTTCAAGGTTTTCTTTTTGAAAAAAAGAAAAAAAGCAAAGAAAAGAAAAAATTATGGAGTTGATACGGTTGAGTGGAAGCAAAATTATATGTATTTCTTTTGTTGACGTAACTAGTCTGACGAAAGAGAAAGTCAAAAAAAATTAAAGAAAATGAAGAATATTTTTCATTTACAACTTAGGACTTCGAGTGATTATTTTATTATATTATTATTTATTATTATTATTATTTTTTATTATTATTTTTTTTTTTTGGGGGAAACGGGTGCATTTGATAGTTTCCCTAGCACTAATATTGGCCTTTTAACACTGAATTGAAGCTTTGAGCTACACTTTTCTTCATGCCATCTTTCCATGGGTATCAATAATATCTTTGCTGCCCTTTGATGATGAAAACAAAAAACTATGATTTGGGAATATAATTACCCTAATTAAAAATTATTTTTATAAAAAAAACTACAATACCCTTACTTTAGTTAAATTAAAAAAAAAAAAAATTAAGACAAATGAAAAGGAAATAACCTTAAAATGGATTTTATAAAATTGTTCTCTTACAAAGGCATATAGAGGAATATTATTTATTTGTGGGGTTGGGTGTCATTAAAAAAAAAAAGGGTGTCCTACTCTCACCGGCGAGACCAAGCATATCAAAATAATGTCAGAGTCAAAATCTTGGTCAGCCTGTAAGCAAAGCAAAGAGGGAAAAAGTAAGCGAAGGAAAAACTGAAAAAGCAAGCAAAGCAAAGAAGGAAAAAGTAAGCGAAGGAAAAACTGAAAAAGTAAGCAAAGGAAAAAGCATGTAAATCAAGTTGTTTTCTTGAACACGATGTATTAGTTACAAAGGAAAAAGCATGTAAATCAAGTTGTTTTCTTGAACACGATGTATTAGTTACAAAGGAAAAAGCATGTAAATCAAGTTGTTTTCTTGAACACGATGTATTAGTTACAAAGGAAAAAGCATGTAAATCAAGTTGTTTTCTTGAACACGATGTATTAGTTACAAAGGAAAAAGCATGTAAATCAAGTTGTTTTCTTGAACACGATGTATTAGTTACAAAGGAACCCCCCCCCCCCCCCCCCCCGCGGGG